GCTGAACCGAGGCTTCCTCATGAGAGGCAAGAGGGCCCAGTCCTAGCTGCGAGGATGCAGAGGAGCCCGGCGGTGAAATGCCAAATAATGTACAGTGGAGAGCAGATATTTAATATATTCTTGGTGTCTGTGAGGGTGGGCTTGGGGCCCCAGGTGTGCCCCCCCCTTTCTCTTGCTCCATGAAAGGCTTGTCTGTGGTTTGGATTTGTCTGTGTCTCTTTCTTTCGCTTAGGAACTGTGAAAGTGTTTCCAAAGAGCCCTCCTTGTGCTGGATGTGTTAAGCGTAGTAAAATGCTGGGGCCCTCCCTCTGAGTGCACCACCATGTCTCTGTGTCTGCTGCTGCTGCGCAGAGGACTCGCTCCCCTCTGCAGCTCTGGAGTTCACACTCTTTCCACTTCCCCGTCTCTCTGCTTTGTCTTGTCAGAGTTCCGTGTGGACACCAGCCCTATCTGATTCCTGAAGCGTTTGTTAGATAGGGCAGGAGTTTAGGTAGGACACACAGCCCGACTGCAGTGGCACGGCACGGCACTGCTTTTGCTGCTTCCAGAGAGACTGGCAAGGGACATCGCCAAGCCAAGATAGCTGAACATCAGCCATGTTCAGACGTGTGAGAACGTCTCCCTGTCTTGCACACATGCCCTAAGGCACAGCCACAAAAGTGGGGTGGAGGCACCTTTCTGTTGCCTGAGCCGAGTCCAGCAGGGAACAGGATCAGGCTGTGACGTCTCTGTCTCAGATGCTCCACTCTGCAACACCCTCCCCGCCGTGCCCGTTAAAAGTTCTGAAACAGCCATGGCGGGGCTGCTTTGGCACTCGGGAAAGCGCACAGGGGCTGGGGTAACAGGGTCGTCTGGCCCCATTTTTATTTTATATATATATGTGTGTGTGTGTGCGTGTGTGTGCGTGCGTGCGTGCGTGCGTGCCCCTGGAAGTCATGGCGACTTCAGGTGACTGCCCCCTATTGCTGGGGCCTGGAGGATATTCAGAGAGGGGGCTGAGTAAAGCCTGCCCGGCCCGGCTCCAGTATTCCAAACCGGTCTCCCATCCAGGTACTTGCTGGAGCCGGCCATGCATAGCTGGCGAGGTCCCTCCCACGCGACCGGGCTTGCCTCCTGGGCCGTCCCGGTCAGGGCGCCTGGCCCCGCTTTCGCACGGCCAGATTCTTCTCTCAGGTGGTGTCGGCACGCGTGGGTCAGACCCGTGGCAGCTTTGGTGTCTCCTTTGGCCCTAAGGAGGCTCCACTGGCTCTACTCTGGCTCGCAAGGGCCTGCGAAGAAGTGGTCGTGGGTGACAAAGCGGGGCCTTCCGTGGGCCTCCGTCGTTGCCTCCTGCCAGGTGCTGGGGGGCCAGCAATGGGGCGAGTGCCCTGTGAGACTGGCTGTGCTCTTCTGCGCGTAGCGGAGGGGAAGCTTTGCCTCCGTCATCCCAGCCGGCAGGATCTCCCGAGCGGCTTGGCCGGAGGTGCAACGCAGCGCCCACCCGAGGGGCACCCTTCCGTGGACACAGCACAGGACCCTGGAGACCGCAGTTGATGTGGCTTTATTGGTTAGTGCAGAGGCCCCTCCTTTCACAACCATTAGAGTTACAGAGCATGGTGCACAGGACGGGGGTGGGGAGGGAGTCAGCTGGACTGATAACATGATGCAGTTGGAGGGGGGGAGCAGGGAAGAACTGGGGGGGGGGGCTCTCTCTCTGTACAGCATTCAGCAGCGGAGGAAGCTGGAGCAGGAGGTGCCGTTTCGGAAGTTCAGATGAGGCTGTTGGGTGGGTCTGAGCTTTCAGAGTTTCCGGTCCTTCCGTACAGGAATCAACACACACTTTTGGCCACATGCAGGAACAAGCAAAAGCAGAATGTCAACGTCTCTCCCGCTGTGGGTTTCCTGGGATTGTGGGGGCCCCAAGCTCCATCCCCACTGGCTACGGTGGCCTTGGGCGGGGCTGGGAACATCCCCCTCTCTGGTTTTAAGAGGGGCTGCTGAAGGTGGCCAAGGCTGCTTCAAAAGGACAAGAATGGTGGGGGAAAGGACCTCAGGGAAAAGAACTGAGAATTGGATCAAAGTGTCAAGGCAACATCATGGAGGAGGGGGTCCGAAAGCCCCCCCCCTTTGCTTGCTTCGTTTTTCTCACAGACATTCAGATGTGGGTTAGTGCATCAGCTCGTCTCCCCAGGGCCCCAGTCCCCCCCTCCCTTGCACCTGTCCCGGACCACCAGCCGCTGGCTGCGCCTGGTCCCCGCTAGCGAGCACCTTGCCGGTGGCACTTGGGGCTCTGCCGCCTTGGCTTTCTTGAACGGCAGCCTTGAGAAACTGGTGGGCCCCGTGACCGGAGGGCCAGGAGCCTGCAGGGCCATCGCGGCCATGAGATCAGTAAAACAGAACCACAAAAAGCGGCTCCCACTGAGAAGCAAAAATAAATACATAAATGAGACAACGGCAAAAGTAATCCCCATCGCCTCCCTCTCCCTGCCACTCAGTCCGGATCTGAGGAGGCTGGTGGCAGGGAGCTGCTGGCTGCCAATGCAATGTGGGTGGAGTCTTTTGGAGAGCCTGCCCCCCAACCACCTGCCCTGGTGCCGGGACACCCCTCCCATCCGTCTCCAGGGCGGAAGAGCACAGATGACGACGGGGCCTCTGGTGTCGCTGGCACCGTCAGGGTGTGTGTGTTTGTGGGGGGGGGGAGGGGAGAGGTGCGCTTTGTGGCAGCGATCCTCTCTACCGCAAGCGTTGTGGAGAGACAGGAAGCCCAAAGGGATGAGTGAGTTGCCACATTTTTTATCCCCCCCCCTTCGTCTAAGGAGCTCAGCATGTCACATGTGGTCTTCTCCCCCCCCCCCACCTTGCCTGGCTCCTCTACCACGGGCCCCACGTGACTGCCATCCCCATATGGATCGGTTCGCCTCTTGGCCTTTTCAGCAGACGTGGGGCCCTGAGCGTGGTGTGTCTGCCCCCCACACCCAGAGCCCCCCCCACACTTGTCCTTGGCTGCCAGTGCCATCCCACAGCTTCAAAGCTCAGGGAAGCGGAAGGGGCGTAAAGTCCTCTTTCTTGCCCAAGACCCCCGGCAAAGGTCCCCATCCACACAGCTTCGGAAGAAGGCCATTCCTCCGGACACCCAGAGTCCCCTGCTCTCCCCTCTTGCTCCTCACAGGGAGAGCGTGAGGACTGGTTTTCCCTGGCCGCCCTTTCTTCCTGCTTTTAATTCTTTCCGTCTTTGCTTCCAGCCGTCCCCCCAGGCCAAGTCACATGGGCAGTGCCGCAGAGCTGACCCTGAACAACCAGAGCAGCCAGCCCAGGAGGAAGCAGCCAGGGGAGTGCAGGGAAGACAGAGCGCATGAGCGGAATCAAGGCAGCTGAGTTATTCTATAGAATGATGAAGCAAAATAAACTCTAGACAGTGCAATGGCCCCCAGAGGGCCCCTCTACTCTGCATGCCTCCAGGCATGCTGGACAAACCCTGGGCCTCCTGGCAAACAAGAACCACAGACAGACACAAACCGGCCTGGGTGCTCAGAGGCCACGCTGAGGAGAGAGACCACGGAGCTGCCACTGGGTGGAACTCCCGCGCGCGTTGCAGAGGGTGAGTGGAGAAGACCGACGGGCGAGAGCGCGCTCAGTGTGGCTCAGAGCTTAGAACTCGATCTTGCAGGCAGGGAAGGACTCATCCTGCATCACCACTGTGCTGCTGCTGGCCAAGACCATGATGCTCAGTTCCTGTTGCTTCTCGTGGGTCTGCTGGTACCACTCGCGGGTCACTGCTGTGTCGTGCGTTGGGATGAGGGTCACCTGGGGAAATGTGACAGATGTCCCGTTGGGGGGGGGGGGGGGGGTTGGCTTTCTAGGAAGTTGGACTTTTGCTCTGGCATGCTCAGCTCACGGGGAGGGAAGGCCAGGCCCAAGACTCTCTCTGCACTAACTGCTGGAGCCTCTGAGACCGAGACCTAGGCGGGGACAGGGGCAGGACAGGACCGGCTGGGCTCAGAGGCTCGCGTGTGCCCCAAGGGGAGTCTGGAAGCAGGTTGGAGCAACCAGAGTGGGAACCTCATTCCCGGGGCACCCTGGCAATCCTGCCACTGTTGGGTGGGGCTGCATCTTCCCCTCGAGGGGGGGGGGAGGGAGCACGAGGGGATTCCTTAGTGGGCCCCTGGCCTTCTGAGTGGGTGCAAAATGACCCTTGGGGAGAGACGCGGTGGGGTTGAATTTACCCATGGTCTGGTAGAGGCCCATGCAGCAACGGGGTGGGTCCCGGCATCCCTCTTGTCGTGAGGCTCTTGTAGTCCTGGCCGTGGGCACAGGACGAGGGCATCCTTCCCATCCCAGGGGCCCCAGGGGCTTCCCATGTTGCCCTCGGCCACAGCACCCCCACGTCCCAAAGGTTTGCAGAGCGGAGGAGCCACTCCATGGCTCTGCTCATGTCCAGCACGGAGAGAAATCTGTCTCTCCTGAAAGCAGAGGCAGACTGTTTCTCTGAAACGCTGTGACGCTTCTCACACCTCCCCCTCCAGCAGTGAAAGGTTCCCCCCCCCAGGGACTTACCTGCAAGTTCTCCCCCCACTGGGACTTTCCCTCCAGCAGCGCATCCAGCACAGCTCGGCTCGGCTCCCCATTGCTGGGGTCGTTCCCGCTCACAACGTAGTAAGAGGCTCTAACTTTCTTGAAGAACTCGTGGTCTGTGTTCTTTGCATTACAGTGGTTGGGGATGTAAGCCAAGTCCACGTAGACAGGTGGTCCGGAGGGCACAGATGAGCTGCTTTTAGGGTTGCTGGAAACTTGGGGAGAGAGAGAACATGGGACGTTGTGGGTTGATGCTGACTCACTGAACGACACACCAGGACTCCCTCTGGCCTGCCAGCCAGTGGCAGAAGCACACTGGGGCTGCTGCCAGCTGAAAGGGACTCAGTCGTCTTCTGGCGCAAATCTCCCCGGGGTTGTTTCTTACACCTCTGAGCCTTTCCAGCTCCCTCTGGTTCAACTACTCTGTCTGGGCCAGAGAAATTAAAGGGTATGGGAGCTAACCAGTCTGCAGTTTGAGAGAGTCAGCAAGTGAACGTTGACTGGGAAAGCCAAGCTTCCACTGGAGTATGGAATATTTGGACGTTCTTCCTCCATAGCCCCCACTACCCTCCCCTTCTTTGATGGCTGCCAGTGGACCAAGGGCAGCCTGTGGCCTTTGCAGCATCTCCGCTTTCTCTGCTGAGGAGAGGAGCCTTTCTTCCCGGCCTTCAGAGACCGGTCTGGTAGCATACTTTCTCTGGAGGGCTCCAGAGCACCCCTCCCCGATCTTTTCATCCTAGCTTTTGCCTTCTTCTTCCCTCTCTCTTCCCCCTTCCAGTTCCCCTTGTAGAACACGCAGCCCATTTGCTCCAAGGAGGGGAAAGGGGAGCGGCGGTGTCTTGTGCTCCTCCAGGGCTGGGAGAAAGACACCCAGCCTCCAGAGAGGAGCTTTATGCCAGAACTCATCCTCCCATCCTCCCAGAAGAAAAGCAGCTAAGCGCTCCCTGGGTTCCCCCCCCCCAGCCCTTCTTGGTGTGAAAGAGGCCCGCCAGTGCCTGCCAGAAGCTGATGGTCACTAGGGAGCATCCTGGCTAGACACGCTGCTGCACGGGGGTGTCGTCCCAGAGGAGCAAAGAGATGTCAGCCACCCACAGGAGGCCCAGGACCTACCACCTCATCCAGATTCCTCGCATTAGGAAGCCGAACCCAAGTTCTGTGGGTGGGTCAGACTTCTCTGGTGACCAAGGAGGTGAGGGCTCAGCCTCAGCAGCCTGAGCTCAGCCCAGAAGACCCAGGAACTGCCCACCCGAACCCCGGAGCACATCAAGCTGCCCACAAGCCTCAGAATCTGCCGCGTGGCATTCTTTCTAATGGACGGCCTGCCTCGGTGGATGCTCCAAGCAGCGGGGAAGAATCATTCCCTTCCTCCCGCAACTCTTCAGCCAGAGTCACTGCTAGTTTTACGTCAGATTCGCATGACTCATATGAACACGCATCCCCATGGTCACCAAAGAAGAGTGGAGTCCACCCATTCAGCACTTGCAGCCCCTTTCAGTTGGCAACACAAATGGGCCAAGGAGGAGGAGGAGGTCCAAGCGTCCTCTCCCCATGTTTTCCTTGGAGGAGCTCCTTGGCCAAGGCAGTTTGTATCCTGGAGCTTCCTAAAATGTCAGAAGGCACATCTGCAGATGAAAGGCTGCAGGTGTGGTTTATTTAGCCAAAAAGGCTGAGAGTGATTTCCACAGGAGGGCCTCAAGAGCCCTGCCCAGATTTTTTCCCAAAAGCACAGCAGTACAGGCTGAACGGGACATCTCGGCTGGAGTGACAGCACCAAACAAGGTGGCCAACCAAGCCCGACCTTGAAAACCAGAGTACCCGAGAGAGCCACGTGTGGCTATCCCAGGGGTGGCACTGGCTTCCGAAGCAGTCTTGCTTGCTGAATGCAGTGGTGTGCTGAAGGTTGCCTATGGTGAACCAATGGAGATCACACTCCGCGGAGGTGTCAGAAACAGTCCTCCAAACTGTCTGTGGCTAACTCTGTTTTCTAGAACCATGACTCTTGGATCTGGCTGCATTGGATCCCAACACTCCCAGGACCACCAGGATCAAGAAGGCTTCTGGCATCACAGTCCTTACAAACTCAGCCATTGACAACTGCAGCTTGAGATGGGTGTTACGGCTTCTTTTATGGCGGCAGGAAGGAAAAGTTGGAGTGTGGATTCTGACTCACTGGCTCGTTGTGCAGGGACCATGCTGCTTTGTTCTGAATCATTCCCGCATTGGTCTGTGTGCTGCTGACATGAGTGCACCTGACTCACAGGCCAGTTCCACCTGCTGGATCTCAGCCCCACTAGAGACTGGGGACACGCCAACCAAAGGACTCTGCTTGCCATCAACAGGCAGGTCTGGAAGAGTAAAAAATTTTCTAGCCAGAGAGGGCTTCAGAAGGAACTATCCCAAGCACCAGCCTGACTGCCCTGCCGTCAGCACTAGAAAGTCACTTCCTCCACACATGGTGGAGTCAACCACAGAAGCCCAGAAGATAGTCTGCTGCCTCAAGAAAGAATTTCTCCATGGGTCCCGCACATGCGGAGATCCTAAGGAGCCTTAGGTATAAAGGTTCCGAACCAGGGGGCGCTTCTGGGAGGCTGGGAGAAGCCTCATACCGGCACGAAAGCCGGTAATTGAGGCTCCCCGTTTAAGTCTCTCTTTGCCCCAAACGGCCCCTGCTGCGATGTGCCCCGTGAAGGGGACTAGCAAAGCCGCCAGAACATTGGAGTGATGAAGCGATAAAGTGAAAGCTGGAAGCAAAGCGTATTCGACTAACTGTGAGTTGGAGATCAATATAAAAGCTGTGGCTTGAGCGCGCTCCGTCCCCCGGGAAACCGAAAGGGAGGAGGGAGGATTCCCCCCCCCCCATTGCAGAAAAGAAACTTTTTAAAACGCGGAGAGAGGGGGCGAAGCGAAGAACTGATTAAGCGAGTTACCTTTTGTAAGAGAGTTGGGCGCAGGCAAGAAGGAGCCATCCTTGGGTGGCACGGCACGAACTTTCAAAGTATAAACAAAGTTTGAAAATGGCGATGCAGAAAGAGAGAGATAAAAAGGCTTGGGAGAGGTGGACAAAGAAGACAGGAGGAACTTCCTGTCCGAGTCCCTCCTCTGCTGGGACTGCTGTCAATCAACAAGAAGGAGAACTTGCGCGCCATCAGCTGCATCCCCGGAATGTGTTTCAGCAAATACGACTTCATGTTAAGCATACACAAAGTGATGTGTATGTAGCCTTTGGACTGAGGGACAAGATAGATACTTATGAAATAACTACAAAAGAACTCTCCACAGCCACAGCAATGCATCTGTCATCATGGGAGTGATTTGGGATATGGTAGAGCACAGGATGTTTTAAAATTAAACACAAGTCCAGTGGCCCCTCCCTGATGGCACACTTTGGAGACAGACACCAGGTGACTGGCACAGCTACGACCATGATGGGACCTTGCCACAAAGTGCTGGCATTGTCCAGATTTCCAGACTGGCTCTTCAGAGAAACTCCTGTCTTGTCCTCTGTAGGCAGTGTCAGGTGCCTGACTGGAAGGTTAGGGAGGGAGAGTTGTCTTGGGTCACGCTTTTCCATTATCGTCTTGGATCTGCACGGTGCAAGTGTCTTCAGACAAGGCACTCATGGCTATGAACAGATACGCAGGGAGCCAGGTTGGAGCATCAGTCAGCCATGCTCAGACCCACTTCTGGCTTTTCAAAACTTTTCTAAGAAGCAGACATTCTTATTCACACAGAGACGGACTCTATTTGTAAATGGCTTACCTGAACAGGCAAAGAGGGATGTACTCAAAAAAGCAAGAGCTACTGTCCTGGCTGATGCAGAGCAACAACCAGGATTACCGTAGAAAAGAGCAAGAGTCCAGTAGCAAGTGAAAGACTAACAAAATATGTGGCAGGAGATGAGGCTTCATGAGTCACTGCTCACTTCTTCAGATGGTTGATGTATTTCCATTCTGACGGCTAAATATGGTGCCTTCCATGGAAACACATCAAGATGGGTAGCCGTGTTAGTATGTCTGTAACAGTAGAAAAGAGCAAGAGTCCAAAAGCGCCTTAAAGACTCAACAAAATACGTGGCAGGAGATAAGCTTTCGTGAGTTACTGCTCACTTCACTTTTTCAACCAGGATTACAGAATACAGACCCAAAATAGCAGTCTTGAACATGATAGTGGACTGGATTAGCTCACTAAAGACCCAGTAGGCAGAGTGGAAGCCGCACACAGCAACCTTCGATCAAATTGTAAGAAGGTTCAGGAAGCCAATGGCAGATTTAAGGGCAATGCAGAGACTCCTCAAGTGGTGTCCATGACAAAGTTGAGGGATGCGGAGGCACATGAGACACACGTCCTGTTAGCCGTATGGGCGGAGGGATTCATAAGCACCTTTCCCCTGCTTCAGAGATTCCTGCAGTTGATCGCCCAGGGTGAAAGTCAGATTGGCGAAGAAGACTATTTTTAGAGGCATCCCAAGAACACTGGATCTTGGTCTGGTCAAGGCAGCGCTGCTGTCTCACAGAAGCTGCTTCAGTAAGATGGGTGAGTCTTGTCAGCCTGGATTTAAACCTGACCCTGGCAGCAGCCAAGAGCCTTCGGCTGTGAGCCTCTCTGCTTTGCATGGGTAGTTTCAAGGAGGTGCGGCATCACTGCGAAGTCCCACAAGGCCAGCGCCATGTTTTAAACCAGGCCTTGGCATGATGCAGCAAAAGTGGAGTTTTGGGGCACCTTAAAGAGTAATGAGTTTATTGAAACATAAGTTTTTTTGTGGATCTTTTTCATCAGATGTTTGAGGTGAATCTTTCATCATTACTCACACACACACACACACACACACATAGATGCACGTCCCCCACTCCCCACGTGAGGACTGAGCAGCACGTGGGGTTGTCACGGCAGGACCATCTTCTTGGCACTGAGCAGGAGTCCCGGGCAGAGTGCTGATGATCCCTGGAAGGGGTTCCTCAGCGAGAGCTCCCCAGAGGCCTCGAACCAGCCACGTTTCAAGCCAGAGACAACTGCAGGATGACTGAATCCTTGCCAGGGGCCACAGTTCTCTACTCTGAGGCTTGAGGGCAAGAAGGCCCCTTGCCACTGCCGGGCTCACGGATTAGTTTGTTTCCTGCCCTGCCTTTTGATTCTTGGTATGGTTTTGAAGAATCCTCTCCCATATAGCAGTTCTGAAAAGCAGACTCTAACCAGGGTCAGGCTCCTATTTGAATCCCTGGTGACCATTCCCATCAAACGATACACCCTCAAAATCTGCGTGCATCCTACCGTTACTCCAGGGTTTCAGAACCGAAGGTGTTATCTGCCAGTCAGGCAATGTGAAGGTGAGGCTTAGGGCCCAAGATTCAATTTCTGCTGTTTAGAACACAAATAGAAGCTGACTGGAGAAAACCTGCTCTTCTCTTGGCCCACGTTCTCTAGACATGGGCCAACAACTTGGCAAGCTCTTGATAAGAGTGCACAGTGCTTGTGTGCGTCTGGTGTGGATGGAAGGCAACCCTGTCAGTAGCCCTCTAGCCCCGAGGAGGCTACAGGGTGCCCACCTGGGTATCTTATGGGTGGCTGCAGGGCTTTGGAGAAGCCACTGCAGAAGGTCCCATGCGGGAGGGCAATGATGCGCATATGCACCCTGAAAATGAGAGCTGGCCCTCTGGTTGCCCACAGACGAAAGGGGAATCTTGACAACATCAAGTCCCTTTTCAGAGGTGTCCAGAGGACAGCGGCTGCTGAAATGACAAAGAGGCCCCATACCGAACCAGACCATCGATCCACCAAGGTCACTCTTCTCTACAGAGACAGACAACAGCTGTCCAGGGTCTCAGCCTGAAGTCTCTCAGATCACCTGCTACTTAGTCCTTTATTTTAAAGGACACTTCACCTCCAGGTCTCACTACAAAAGTTACAGCTTTGGGCGGTAAATGTTTAAACTGTGCTCTGGTAGTGCTCAGAGGCTAAACTAAAAACTGCCTTTACAGGAGGTGGCTGTAGATGCCACGTCCCCTCTGGGTGGGAGGCAGCTGGCCAAACAGCAGAACCTTCCACGTGGCAGCGACACCTGCAGCCCACCCCAGTGCTGCCGGGGGGGGGGGGGGGGGGTACTCTCTCCCAGGAGCAAGGAGTCTCCCCTCTAGTGTGATGCCTCTCGAGGTCTGGGGCCGGGGGGGGGGGGTACTCTCTCCCAGGAGCAAGGAGTCTCCCCTCTAGTGTGATGCCTCTCGAGGTCTCCTGAGGCTCCAAGGAAGCAATTCATCCTTTTCTGGGGGGGGAAGGGAAGAGCACTTGGGGGCAACATGAAAAGACGACTTTTGGGAAAGAGAAGTTCTGGGGAATGGAAGACTTGAGCGAAGGAGGCCAAGAGTGGCTGGGAAGGAGAGCGCGCCAAGCCTGGCCTGAGACGGAAGCCCTGGGAGCTGGGAGTGATGAGTCTGCCTGCCTTTCAGTTCATTCGCCATCAGCGGGGCCAAGTTGCAGACCGAGGAGGGATACAGGACTGCGTCATTGCTCGTTTTAGGGTTCCTTTGATCAGTAGCTGTTAGGCAGCTTTTTAAAGTCCAGCTAAATGGGCTTCCTTTTGGTAAGTAATGACTGTGGATACCAGGAAAGGCACATTTTCCCTTTTGTCAGCTTGGTGCTCTGAAGCTCTGTCTTCATCACAGAAAGAACCCTACCTCGGCCCACTCTTGCTAAGCTCCAAAGAGAAGGGAAGGCCGGGAAAGGGCTGCCTGCAGCTGAATTACTCTAACAAGTAAGGCTGTCAGAGCTTCCCGCAGGGGATTTGAAGCTGGTTGCCAGGAAGAGCCCTGGGTGCTCAATTAGGCAGAAGAATCTGTTAACAGGAAGGGGAACCCCCCCCCACACACACACACAGCAAATCTCTAGCTCCAGATAACGAAGCGATTGCTCTCGCTCCAGTCCACTGTGGGGGTGGCGACCAGGAAAAGGAGCCCTGTTTGTGTTGAACAGCTGGGAGTCCAGGAGCCCCTCCGAGACCAGCCTGAGTTTCAGGGTAGAGACTTTTGAGAGCCCCAAGGCTCCCTCCGTCAGACAGGACCACGCATGGGACAGCGGTGGTGCCGTAACGCTGGCGAGGTGGACGACCCCTCGCTAAGGTCTAGTGGCTTGGGTTCTGGCTCAGCTGATTAAATTCCACACCCCATGTGACCGAACAAGTTGCCCGCAGGGTCCGTTTCACCACACAGTGACCTTCCTGGCTGACTGATTCAGTGGCACCAGCCGCATTCTACTGTCCCAGCGGTCAGCGCATCCGTCTGGGCTGTGCTGCGTCTGTGCCAGGCACTCCTGCTCAGCCAGGCTCGGTCTGGGGAGTCAGAGGACACCCCTCCCCCTTGGCCAGAGCCCGGCTGGGTCTTCCAGCCAGGAGGTGGTCCTGCCTGTCCCAGCAGAGAAAGGGCTCGCCTCCGGGTGTGCCGTGAACCCAGAAGGGCGAGCTGCCTCCCAAATGCCTGTCCTCTCCCTGCCTCTTCCCTGTGTCTGCCCCCCTCTGGGTGGGGGAACGGAACCCCCCCGGCAGCCTGGCTACCCCCCAGGGCCCTCCTCTTTTGCCCACCTGCCAGCCCACCCGTTGGCTCTGCCTGAAAAGAAAGGGATGCTTTACCTGGGCTTGTTCTGACACCGTTGACGAGGTTCTTGCCGTGGCTGGGGGGGTGGCTGCTTCGGGAGCCCTCTTTCTCCTCCACATGGGATTTGAGCAGCTTCTCCCTCTTGGCCAGGGCTGGCTTTGAGGACCTGTCAGAAGGCGGCAACTTTGTGGGCGCTGGCTTCCTGGAGGGGGAAGAGGGCTTGGGCTTGCTCAGTGGCTTCCTCACCCCTTTGGTTTTCTCCTTCATGTCCTTCTTGGAGATCTTGTCAGGCCTGCTCAGGTTCTGTTCATTCAGCAGCACCTCTGGGTCCATCATGCAAACATCGGGGTGTGGCGGATGGGGATGGGGGTCCACCAAGAAAGCAGGTTGAGGGTCGTGACTCGTCCTTGTGCTGCTGTGGTGGGAGCTGCCCACCGCTTTGTCTACTGGGAGGAAATCCGCATCTTCGTCCGAGTCCATGGCAGCATCAGCGGTGATGGATGGGCACTCCTCTGTCTCTGGAGGAACGTCCGAATCAGACTGGGAGGTCCCGGAGTCGCTTGCAGAGGTGGGGGGAGTTTCTTCCACCATCGCAGTGGCCTGCCTGTGTCCTCCAGGACTGGGGTGTGCCCTCCCCTTCACCGACGGATGCCCTTCGACCTGGGAAAGCTCGCTGTCTTCCGAGGAGTCATGAGGACTGGGGTTGATGAAGGATGGCGACAGTTCATCCTTCCTCGGCTTGTACTCGCTGGGGAACTTCTGCTCATAGTCTGAGGCAGCTCCGAGACATGGTTCCAGCTCATGGGAGGCATTGCCGTGGTCCTCTGCCTTGCTGCCTTGCTGGGCGCCTGACAAGAAGGACGGGAGAGGTGGCTCCGGGGTCAGGAGGGAAGAGGGGCGGCTCTGCCTATCGCAGCCCTCCTCCTCCTCCTCCTCCTCCTCCTCCTCTGTTTCAACCAGTCTCTCAGCAGGGATATATGACATACCATGGGAAGCAAGCGGACTGGTGCTCACCTCTGTGGGGCCGTTGGCTGTGGCGACCACCTCCTGCTGACAGGCGGGAGGTGCTGCCAGTACATCAGGAAAGGAAGAGGCCGACATCCGTTCCCCAGGGCTCGGCAGAGGCTGAGTGCAGTGGGGCTTTTGTTGCTGTCCGGCCAGGCACTGCGAGCAGTCGTCATCCCTGCTGGCAGTCGCAGCCCCTCCCGTTCCATACGAATAGGCTTCTGCGGGGCCCGCTGGAGGTGGTGAGGAGGCGCTCCGCGTGCTCCCGGGGTCTGGCTCTGCCGCCGCCGCCGCCTCTGACTTGGTGGGAAACAGACTGGGGCAGGAGGTCTCGCCCGCGGCCTGCCTCACCGGGGCCTTTGAGGAGGAGGAGGAAGCGGCTTCCGCAGAAGGGTCAGGTGAGTCCACCGGTGGGCACTGCTGGGGCACCTCCGAAGACCGCTTCCCTTCTTCTCCATGCCCTGAGACTCTGGTGAGGGAGGGGCCTGCACTGACAGCCTTTTCTGACACCTCCAGGTATTCACCTTCCATTCCCTTTTCTGAGGAGACAGGATCAAACATGCCGGAAGCCTGAGAGGTGTCCTCTGGGTGGGATGAGAAGTGTGCTTCGTGTCTGAACAGAATGGACAGCTCGTGCTTGCCGAGGGATGAGAGCTCAAAGCCTGAGGCAGAGCCACCCAGTCCTTTGTTCAGGAGGGCCGTGGCCTTCGGAGATTCCTTCTCCTCCTCAGCAGAACTGGCCAGGGAGAATCCTTTGGTGTGGCCCTCCAGACACAGTTCATCATCGCTTGAGTGTTTTGCTGAAGACGCTGCATCCGCGGCGTACCGTGTATTGGCTTCCACGGACACGTTTGTGGCCCCTGAAGCACAAGCTGGCCTCCCGGTCTGCCTGCCTGAATTTGTGAGGGTGTCATAGGGAGCTTCGTCTGCCCCTTGGACTGTTTGTTCCGCCTGGTTTTCCTCTGCCAGCAGCCCACCACAGGCCAGCAACACAGGATCGGCTTCTTGCCGTGGCTGTGGTGCACGGACCTTCTCCACCCATGAGATGTCTGCGTATGGTTCCTTCTCCCTTGCTGCCTCCACAGCTGAAGGTGGCTCGGGAAGTTTGGATTCCTTCTCTGATTCCTCCTTGGCACCTTTTTCCAGTTCTGAGTCACTGACGCTCTCTCCTCCTCCTCCTCCTCCTCCGTCAGCCTTCTCATAGTAGACGTCCTTGGGCTGGCGGTGTTCTGGGGAGAGGGATCTCTGCTCCTGCCTGATGTTTGCATCTGGAGGCTGCACAGTATTGAGGTAACCAGCCATTTCTCCTTGATGGCATCTGTCTACGATCCCTGCAGCGCAGGCAGAGCCTTGGTCTTCTGGAGAGGAGGCAGGCGTGGGGCGCATCAGATTTTCTGGCGGGAGAGGCAAAGTGTGCCTTTCATGCTGTGTGTCTTTGTCTGTCAAGCCAAGTGCCAAGCCGTGCTGCTTTGTCTGAGATGAGCACTCTTCATGAACCTCAGCATACTCAAAGGATGGGTCTGCTTTATCCTTCGGGGAAGCGGGAGATGACAGTTCTTTCTCAGTAGGGGTGTAGAGGCAGGATTCCTCTTCCTTGGAGGAGATGGGGTAGAGAGATCCTTTCTGACCCGGCTGTGCTTTCCTTACCTGGAACAAGGCGTCCTTTCCGGCACCAGGCACTGCAACTTTATCAAAGATGTCTGCATACTGGAAACTTTTCTCATGGGGGTAAGGAGTTGGTTCTCGCTCTTCCTTCTTTTGCCCTTTCCCATTCGCATCATCTTTTGATTCACAGAATTCAAACTGGCTGGAAGAGTCCAGAGTGTAGGGCCACGAATGACACTCCAGTTGGCCAAAAGAGGTTGTGCCCTGCCAAGGGACAGTGTGGTCTCTGCCTCTTCCGTGATTGTACCCTGGAAGGGAACGTCTGGTTTCCTGCGACTCTCCAACGATGAACACAGCATCCTCCAGTCCTCCTGGGCTCCAGGGTGCTGCACTCACCATCGCCTCCTGCTGGCCTTCACTGGACTGATCATGAGAGGCATCCAGTTCTGCCTCCGGTGCCTGTTTTGGACCCAACATTCCTTTGAGCAGCACATCAGTCTCTGGCCCCTCTTCCTCTGCTCCCAGTGGGAGTTGGACTGCACTTTTATCAAACACAGAAGTTTCCCCCAGTTCTGAGAAAGAGGCGCCTTCCAGTGTTGCAGAAACAGGAGGTAGCGAACGGATGGTCATAGCCTCACCCACAGAATCAGTACCCAGCTCGGGGGCTATTTTCTTCCCACCTTGCTTGTGTGTACATGAGGGATCTTCTTTTCCTTCTATTACGGTGCCTATTTTCGCCTCATGTGGAAGAGATAAAGCTGCCCAGTCCAAGCTGGATTTTGGACTGCTCTCACGTTCGGGAGACTGGGAGCTTATGGAGACAGACATTTTAAATTCCTCTGCATCCAGCACTCTTGGCAGAGTGTCTGCTTGGACAGACACGCTCTCTCCCACTTGCTGGTCCGCAGGTTTGTCACCCTGAAGTGAGAGGTCATTTTGAGCAAACGTCCCAGGTTTCTGAGTGGCAGTTTCTTCCTGGAAATCCCTATATTCTCTATCCCAAATTTCCTTCTCTGCCATCTCTGAAATGTAATCTTTGGATTCCACAGAGCCAGGGATATTTCTCTCTTCAGTTACAGAAAGCAGAGTTTTCTTTACAAAGCCTTCTACCTCATCATCTAAGAATGTGCACTCTCCTCTTTCGTCTTCTAAGAGACTGCACTCTCCTCTCTCCTTATCATACTTCTGTTGTTTTCTGCCTGGGATTTCCTTCACCTCCTCTGGAAACCACACTTTCTTTTCATAGAGGGCATCTTTCAGATAAATGTCTTCCATTTCTGGAGACTGCTCCTCAGCGCCTTGTTTCTCTTCTGCCTCTTCAGAACAGACTTCCAAGAACTCCATACCCAGAATGTGGCCAGGTTCTGTGAAGTGTGAAGATGTGTCTTTGGGGGAAAGAACTGGAGATGGTTCTTTGTGGGGGCCCTTTTCTGGTGAGGAAACTAATCCAGTGTCTGCGGAGAACATTTGTGGGGGGTGGGCGTTTTGAGTCTGTGCAGAGCACGAGAGGGAACTGAGAGAGTCCTTTTTGATAACTGTTTCACCTCTATCCGGACTCTCAGTGTGAATCTGGTGTCTAGTTGTTTCAGCAGAGAATTCCTCACTAAACCCATCTGGTGGTTTCCTCCCAGCTGGGGTCTCTTTAGATTTAGCATCTATTTGAGAAATCTCTTCTGTGAACAAATGTGAAGGGGTTTCTTTCTCGGGGCTTGGAGAAGCGTATCTGATGGTATCAGACAGTTGTTTCTCTTGGTCTGGACTCTGCTCTATGAAATGCCCCGTGTTACTGTCTTCTGCAGACATATTCTTGGTGGAAACCTCAGGAGATTTTGCCTGACCAGAACTTTCTTTGGGAAATTTTACTTCACCCGGAGAAGCACCTTCTATAGACGTGTGTCCAACCAGATCGTCTTCAGGTCTGCCTGCGAGTTCCTCCCACCCTTTTGGAGGAGGTATTTCTGCAGCAGAGAACTCGCTTCTCCCAGGGTGCCTCCCGTGTTCTAGGCTGGCCTCCTCCTTGGGCTCTTGGGTGGGAGGATACAGATCAGAAATGTCCAGGGTTTCCTGTTTGTGGTAGAAATGCATTGCCAGCTCCTCTCTTTCCCAGGGCAGACTCTGGCTTTCGCTCTGGGAAGACGCCGGTTCTGCCTGCACACGGCGGGTGCCCTCTGGGCCAGGCTTGTCCCGAAGGAGGCCGGAAGCAGCTTCTTTCCCACAACCCACCTCTGTTCTCTCGCCTTTGGACTCCCTGGCTGTGCTGGGGCTCCCTCCGCCATCCCACCGGACAGGACCCTTGTCGAACAGCTCTGCCTCCACAGTGTCGGACTTTTCCTCTACGGGGGATTGGTGGAAAGGTGTGTGCCCAGCACTGGTTGGGCCCGACTGGGTGGGGGAAGCCATCTTGACTGTGCTGTCTTCAGAAGAGTCAGCGGGAAGGAACTGGGATCCCCCTTCCATCAGCAGCAGTATGGCTGCTTGTGTTGCTTTTGTGGGCTCCTCGGCTAAACCCTCTCCGAGGACCCCTTGGTGAGGAAATGCGGGAGCATCATAATGTCCCTGGGCTCTCTTAGGCCGCTCAGCATTTGGAGTTTCATCCTCCTCCTCCTCCTCCTCCCGCAAGCCCTTTTTGCAGGCCTCAAATTTCCTCTCACCTTCGGTTAATGCATGGAAGTCTTCTGGAGGGGGAGACTTGAAACCTTTGTCCTCCTCTAGGGAGGATGTGGGAGAGATTGTGCCAGCGGAGGGTACGTAGTCCAGGCCCTGAGTGGCCTCTGTCCGAGAGGAAGGGATGCTGTTGACGGTGTCCACCAGTAAGGAGCTTTTGCCAGTCTCTTCTGTCTGTGGAGCTGTTATCGATGCAACAGACTGGTCTTCTGCCACCGAGGTGGCGAAAGAAGACAGCTTGTCACACTCTGTGATGGAAGTCGCTGAGGATACGTGCTCCTCCTCTGCCAAGGGGGCTGCCACAATGTTTGTGGGGTAGCTGAGGATTTCCGGCTCCTGACCAGCATACCCTTTGGCCCCCTCAGCCGCTGGCATGGCCGGGATCCCGTGGATGGCTTCAAACAAGTTTGGCTGGCCTGGCACGGAGATGGTGTAGGAGCCGACGTCTGGTCGGAGGTGTGGAATCCTTTCTTCCTGTTCATCGTGGATCTCCTCGTCAGAAATGGTCTGTTCCGTTTCTGAGTAGCCAGGGATGGTTTCATCCTGGATGTACGAGACGTGTTCTCCAGATGGGACTGGAGCGAATGAGGACTCCTCCTTCCCTGCTAACTTTCCATGTCTGATTCTGTTCACCTTTTCGTCCTTGAGCTCTTTCCCCATTTCTCCACAGGGCCAAGTTGCATCCGCTGGCTGGTGGAAGAGAGAGACGGGGCTCCCCTTGGCCTCGTCACCCTCTGCCTTTGCGTCCTGTTCTTCCATCTCTTCCTGCTCTGCCTTTTCAACGATGTCTTCTCTCTGCTCTGGCTGGCTGTCTTCGCTTGTGCCCGCCCACTTCCCTTCTGAGGCAGGATCCTGTTTCTCATCTGGGTGCCCTGTGCGCAGGGAGTCCCAGGGGGCTGATGCCCGATCCCTCTCCTCTCCTGTTTTTTCTCCAGCAAACTCTGGCGCTGCCCTCCCAACCTTCTCTTCAAGTTCTCCTTTCCTGAAAGGTTCCACCAAGGCTGCTTCCTCACTGTCAGAACTTTCAGCTGTTTTCCCTCTTTTCTCCAGCTGATGGGATGGCAGCTCCCCTGAAACTTTGGGAGAAGTTATTTCCTCCTCTGGCACAGCTGGGGAGATGGACGTTGGAGGACTGGGCTCCGCTGTCAAGCCATCTTCCTGAACGCCCGTGGCCCAAGGAGGCCTGGGTGCTTCGTCCTGCTTGAAGAGCTCTCCTGCCTTTGCGGAAGTAAGCCCTGCCGGAGGCCTCACCTGCTCTTCGAGCTTCAGCTCCTCAAAGTCCTTAGTCAGATCCTCTGGTGAGGACAGAACAGGCCTGGGTTCCGCGATGTCTGGCTCTTGTGGCTGGCCAGGCCTCTTCAGCCCTGGGAACGCCCTCTGGTCGGCCGGAGGCTCCTTCTCAGCTTTGCTGCGGACTTTGTCTGGCTTTATCCTGTTTGGGGCCTTTGCCTTGTATAAGGTCTTCCTGACTTCAGGGGTGAAGGGCTTTAAGTCAGGCTTAGGGATTTTTTTCGGTTCAGGCTTGGCTTCCTTCTTTCTTTCTTCCTTCTTCGACTCTTTCCTTTCCTCTTTCCTTCCGTCTTCCCTCTTCAGCTCCTTCCTCTCTCTCTTAATCTCCTTCTTTTCTTTGTCCCTTTTCTCCTCCAGTTTAGAAGCTTTTTCCTTCAGATGTTTCTTACCAACTTTGTCTTTGGCTAGTTTTCTTTTCTCAGCTTTAAGGGCATCGCTTGTGTCTGTTTTTATCTTTTCAGGCTTAACGGGCTTCTCTGGGTTTCTTTCAGAGAGTTCTTTGGCCTTTCTCTCCATTTTGGTCTCTTTCACTGCCTCGGCCTTGACCTCCTTTGCCCCCTCCTCAGCTGCTCCCTTTGCAGAGGGTTTCAGGCTCTCTCGGCTGTCTGTCCTCTGCCTCACCTTGGTCTGTTTCAGGGCAGGTGATGGCACTCCAGGAGCCACGTCCTTCTGTGTCGCTATTGGATGCTTGAGACAGTCCAGGTGCCTGAGCTTCTCAAGGCCTTCCAGGATCTTGTTCTGTGGGGCGTTTCCAGGAAACAGAACCCGAACTATTTTCTCAGACGGACTTGCTGGGAGCCAAACCACCAAGGCTGTGACGGACGTCAGGTAGGGGACAGAGATCTCCCCTTCCTTCCCACTAGCGAGAACGATACCTGTCTTGGCTTTGCTGTTTCCAGCCCACTTCTGCATGAGGAACTGCATCTCTTTGCTCTCCTTGACGGGGTTCAAGATGTACATGTCCAGCTTTCCAACCCCCATTTTGTGGAAGAGTGTGATGGGCTCAATGGTGTTGCTGACCACTCTGTGGAGGGGCTCTGGCTTCATGCCCAGCCTGTTCAGGTACTGCAGAGTCAGGCTGGCCTCTTCAATGCTCCTTTTGACCTTCATGGAGGACTCCGGCATCTTGAGCTTCTCAGGAACGTTGAAGAAAATGACCCCCAGCTCCGGGGAGATGAGATTCTTCATCCAGTCACTGTAGTTGGTGGAGCCTTGTGACTGCTCCTCATCCTGCTCTGCAATCTTCCTCTGCAGGAGCCCGTTGATGCCGGGGAGGTTGTCAGCCCCGATGTGGGTCAGGAGCACTGAGTCAATCCTGTCCAGGTGCCGGACCAGCTTCCAGAAGCATGACTTCCTCTCTGAGCCGCCGTCCACCAGGATGTTGAATCCGTTGACGGCAAAAAGGGCTGAATCTCCCCTCCCTCCTGGGAAGATGTAGCAGCAGGGCTTGGAAAGCTTGAGGAAGCCCCCTGAGGTCGGGGGCTCCAGGAGATCAAATGGCGACGGGACGTCCACTGTCTCGGAGACATATTCCGCAAATTCAGAGACCCCGTCCATCTCTGGCACGACTGGGTCAGGGTTCAGTCTCAGGTTGAGAAGGTCCTGGAATTGGGGGTGCCCCAGGCTGCGCCAGTCTCCCTCTCCCAAATACGACACTGTGAAAGAGGCCCGGGATGCTGGGTCAGTGTTGCTAAGGAGCTGGGCCACCTGTAAGAGTCAAGGGCAGGTTACAGGAACACTCAGAGATGTTCTGGGCAAAATCCAAAGCCTCTTTACAGTCACACCTATACGAATTCATGTCTTGTCTAGAAGGAGAGTCACACCAGTCAAGCTGCTTTGTAACTGGGTGGACAAGGCTCTCTGAGTGAGAACAGAGGTATACATTAGAGGGAAAATAATAATCTAAATATCTAATTCCCAGACCTTTTTTTTCCTGTGAGGATACTTATTTCCACCAACAGAGGGCTCACTCCCCCCCAACAGCTCTTTCAACAGACTCAAGTGCCTTCCTGGGTTTGCAGAAAAATCCAAAAAGTTAAAAAAACCCACCTCAGGGAAGGTTGAATTCCTCCAAAAACCTTTTGAAATGGCCTCTGCAGGGATCTACTCCAGCCATCAACGGTGGGGGGGAGGCTTCTAACTGGCTTTGTCAGTAAAAGGGTGGCGAAGGGCCCTTTCCAGGCCTCTTTCAGCCTTTGAGGAAGGGAGGGAGCCTTGGGGCCAGGCCTGGCAAGAGTTGCCAGTGCCAGGCTGGGGAATTCCTAGAGGTTTTGTGGTAGACTCTCAGAAGGGCTGGGTTTGGGGAAGGGAGAGGCCTCAAGCTGGGTATAACGCCACAGAGTCCACCCTCCAAAGCATCCATTTTCTCCATGGGAAGTTATCTCTGTAGTCTGGAGATGAGCAGTAATTTCAGGGAATCCCCAGGTCCCACCTGAAGACTGGCATCCCTAGACAGCACCCTCTGGGTGACTTGACACCACCTGATTTGCATGACTGCTTGCTACTGTGGCCCAGCTGCTTGCTACTGTTCATCAGCAGCCACCCTATGAAAGCCAGTGCGGTGCATCAGTTAGAGCTTCAGATTAGGGTCTGCGAGACCCAGGTTCAGATCCCCATCTTGCGGTGGAAGCTGACTGGGTAATTTTGGACCAGTCACATACTTTCAGCCAAACCAACCTCACAGGGTTGTTCTGCAGATAAAAAGGAGGAGAGAATAATGTAAGCTGCTTTGGTCCCCACTGTGGAGAAAAACTGTAACTTTCCTAGGTAGAGGCTTTGGAGGAGGGGGGTGGAGACAGAAAGATGAAGACAGATAACGGCAAAAAAAGATAGGTTGGCTGTTGGGTGGGAAGGAAATAGGGTTGCCAACTCCAAGTTGGGAAATTCCTGGACCTTTGAGGGGTGGAGCCTGGGGAGGGTGGGGTTTGAGGAGGGGAGGCACTGCAGACCCGTCTCCAAAGCAGCCATTTCCTCCATGAGAACCACCATGGCCAGTCTCCAGGTGAGGGCTGGAGATCACTCAGAAGTACAACTGTTGTCCAACCCCAAATCTCCAGGAATTTCCCAACCCGGAGCTAGCAGCAATAAGGTGAATTGATCTCTGTAGCTGGGAGATCCGTTGTGATTCCCAGAGCGCTGCCACCGCTGCTGTGAGGGGAGAGTAAGCAGGTGGGTGGCGGGAGCACTGCCACGACTGCTGCTGCTGCTGTGCGGGGTGGGGGCAGAAAGAGAGAGAAGGCAGAAAAACAAACAGAATGATGATGCATCAGAAAGGGAGAGGAAGTAACATGCACGGAGGAGAGAGAGAGTAAGAAGAGGGGGGGGCAGAAGGGAGGAAGAGTGTGAGAGAGGCAGGGGTGGAGGGGAGGAAGGAAAGGTGTGAGGAAGGGGATGACCATCTCGCATGTTTCTTGCGGGTCTCCACTTGTGCTCTGCTAATACATGCCTTCCTCTGTGGTGGATAATGCTTCGACCAGGAGTCCCCCAAGCACAAGCCTAGGCTGCCTAAGTGGCAAGGGCCTTACTGCCATTTCCCAGAGCCCTGTTAGCATGGCTCTCGTGGGTGATGCACGGAGGTTCAGTTCCAGGTTGTCCACAAGCTTACCTCAGGATCCGCCACTATTTCAGCAAACCTCTGGTCCGTGAAGGCGCCAGTCTGCAGAATCAAGTCTCCTCCCTGCTCTGAGCTCTGTCCACACAGGATCAGCAGCTTGTGGGTAGCTTGTACATCACATACCAAGGAGCGCACCTGTTTGCATGAGACAAACATTTCAGCGCTTTTTGGTCTGGGAGTTCCTCGCCTGCATGAGGAACTCACAGCGGAGAGAAAACCAGCTGCCCTGCTTTGAGTCCACAATACCCCAGCCCTCCCCAGTCTCCCGTGTGGGGCCACGGCGGAGAGAGCCCCCGATGCAGGCCCCGGTGGGGCTGCTCACAAGCAGGGAGGGAAAGCGCGCAGGGGGCTGTGCCTCGGGAAGGAAGAGCTGCCTTGTGGCTGAGCTATGCCCCTGGAAGAGCGCCACACTCGGGGTGCAGGAACCTCCTGGTGGTGGTCCCCGGGCCGGGAGGGGTCCGGCTGTCCTCAACCAGGGCCAGGGCCCCTCCCTAGGGTGGGACGCTCTGCCGGGGGAACACCCGTGCCCTGTGGGGTCCGTCTGTCCCCTTTCCGCAGGGCACGGGCGAGGCAGAGGCGTCCCGCCAGGCATTTGGTTGGGGGTTAGGGTGATGAGGGCACAGCCTGCAGTCTGGCACTCTCACACCCTCCCATCCTCCATAACCCTCACCCCCTAGGGCGATCTTGAAGCGGACTCAGTTATTGGTGCATGTACAGTGTGTTTTGTTGTTTATTTCTATTAAACTGTTAGCTATTTGTTGTATGTCTTCTGTTGTACGATGCCCTGAGCCTTGCTTGCAGGGGAGGGGGACCTGGAAAACAACAACAACAACCCTGCTTGTAATTAAATAAAGGACTGCAGCAAACAGCTGCTGAGCTGAACCAGGTTCACTCCGAGGCAACTCTGGTTCTTTCCTGTTTCCCATCATGGAGTCCAAGGTTGCACACATGGGGAGCTCGGAGGAGGAGCTCTATGCAAGCGCTGAACAGAGCAGACCTGCTTTAGCAAGGTCCCCGGATCACGTGCCTTGATGAGCCAACCCAACCCATGCCGGCTGCAGGGATCCCTGGGCTTTACCTTGGCCACAACGCTCTGCTCATCTGGGTTGACGAGGATGACGGTTTCTAGGTCCTCATTCTGGTGGTGAAGAGTTCGCTGGCCTGGAGAGACAGCAGGGAAAGGTCTTGCTCAGAGAGTACTGCCGGCTGCACAAAACCCTCCCCTCTGATCCCAAAGACAAGTCAACCAGTGTGGCTACCAGGAGGGCCTCTCTGTTCCCGCCTCCTGAATGAAGGGCTCTCGAGCACAGAAGCCCAACAAGAATGACCAAGGTCCACAGGGCCTGGCCTGGCCTGGCCCCTCCGCTTGGGTCTCCAGCCCCTCCGCCGCCGCCCCCAGCCTGGTTCAATGATGCCACACACCTGTGTAGGACCTCAGCAAGCACAGACTTGAAGCGTGGCATAACACACCAACGTTCCCTACTTATCCTGGGCTTTTCATGAAGGGTTTTCCTTGTTGCAGAATGTTCTCTGCCACAGTACAAAATCATTCCCAGACCCTGGGCTTGGGACTCTCGGTGCCCAGCAGAGTCATAGACCTGCCTGGTTTCAGCTCTGAGTGCAGCCACCCCGCCACAGAGTATCAGGACTTCATGCAGTGGCAGCTCCCCTGCGTGTCCCCAGGAGCAATGCAGGAGCTGCTCCTTACTCCACGACGACATGGGACTGCACCTTCTGTCCTGTCCTCTCTCTTTGGGGAAGACCGTGGGCAGAGCCAGAAGTGCCTCCATCACTCTCTTGCTTTCCAAGAACAAGTGCGGGGAAAGCTAGTCCTAAAAGTCTGAAGCAAGAGCTCTGGCTGGCCGGCCAGCCGACCACCCCTTGAGGCCCACGAGGATCCCACTCCCCCAGAACAGGTTTGAACTTCTAAGAAGATCCTTTTGTCTGTGTAGCTCTTTCAAAAATGAAAAGGCAGAGTGATCCTCTGAAGCAGCGGGAGGGCAAAACTCATGGCTGAACCCACGTCGAAGTCCAAGCGTGTCTCGTCAGTTGTGGAGCCAAGTCCATCCCGTGACTGAGGGACACGCTGTCACCGCCCTTCTCACGCTGTCACCCGTCATGGGAAGCTCCCTCCCCAGCCTTCTGCAGAATGTGTAAAGGGTCAGGAGGGCATTTTTTAATCAAGGGAGTAGGGTGGTAATTTTAACGTCTGAAGTTTTTTAGGCAGCTTTTAAAATATTGCTTTTGGGGGGGGGGGAAGAATGTATAATACCGTTTAAAGGTAACCGTAAAGGTTTCCCTTGCTCAGGAGCTAGTCAAATCTGACTCTAGGGTGCGGTGCTCGTCTCAGTTTCCAAGCCGAAGAGCCAGCGCTGTCCGAAGTCCTCTCCGTGGTCATGTGGCCAGCATGACTAAACACCGAGGTGCACGGAATGCTGTTACTTTCCCACCAAAGCGGCACCTATTTATCTACTTGCAGTTTCTTGCTTTCGAACTGCCAGGTTGGCAGGAGCTGGGGCCAGAGATGAGAGCTCACTCCGTCCTGCGGCACTAGGGTCTCGAACTGCCGAACTACCGACCTGCAGCTTGGCCTGCAGCTCGGCGTCTTAACCTCTGAGCCACCACGGCCCTCTCTCTGTTTTTATTACATTCCCTAATTTTCTAATTGTTTTCTGATTCTGATGGGCAGATTATAAATGATGAACGATAAATAAATTCCCCTTTCATCTTCCAGTGACTGGCTCATTAAGTAACAAAGAACTGATAGGATTCCCAAAGAACGAGAGTGAAATTGCAGAGAAGTGTGAATTAATACTTTGGGTCTGCGATACCAAAGACACATGGCAGCGATCCATGCCAAAGTCCTGCTTTCAGGGAATTGTCTGAAGAACCAAGTCAAGTAGAGGTGACTAGAAATGGAGTTCTAGGACAGCCCAAAACAGACAAGACACCAGGTCCAGATGGTAAAATACGCCTAAGAGTTCTTGGAACTCAAATGCAAAACTGCTGACCTCCCAACAAAAATATGCTGCTTGTCGCTTTAGAGATTCAAAGGCAATATTCCTGGGGGACACCTCTGAGTTACTGCCGCCTGGCCCTGTTGGGGGCAATGCACTTGATTGACCACCGTGGGAAAGAGGATACTGGTGCAGACGGACTGTTTGTTTAATCCAGCAGGGCTCTCATGTTCTTGCGTTTCTTCTCCTCCCTGGATGCTTCCCTCCTCCACCAGTATCATCAGGTCTTTCGCTTCCCAGCTGTGAAGAGACCTAAAACAGAAATCTATGGGATGGCTTGGCCATGGACTACAGGCTATGCCAGAGGCTGTTGGCAGCATCCACAGCAGACCGGGAGGAGGCTCAAGCTGACCTCCTGTAGGAGCCTGACTAGTCTTGGACCACCCGAGGATCCTTTTTTCCCAGGACCTTTTGGACAAGGCAAAGCTTGGTCCTGAACCTATCAGTCATCAGCTTCATTGAGTGTGCCCAACTTCTACTAGGACGGGAGAGGAAAAGCACGCTCTACTTTCTCCACCCTGTCTCTATCATTCTCTCAGCCATCCTTTTTCTAGACTGAAAAATCCCAGGCTCTTCACCTTTGCTCACAGCTCCTTAATCATCTTTGTTGCCAGGGGCGCAGCCAGAAGATTTCGGTGGGTGGGGCATGGGGAAATCCAGGGGGTGCCCCAGCCATGCCTGCTGCTCCTCTTGCAGCAGCAGCAGTGGCAGAAGCAGCAGCTCCGTCTCTGCTGCGACCTCTAGTCCTCCTCTGGACCTTTCAATTGGAGAGACTCGATTCTGGGCTGCTCGCGGGGGCGGGGGCGGGATCTCCAACTCTCTCGGTTTTGTATTTTGCAATTTTAATGAGACTGAAGCTTCCCTGACTGTGCCGGGGTCATTTTGGGAAACCCCACATGCAACTTACATTTTAAATATATTTTTAAAATCTTTCTGTCTGTGGGGGCACCACTCGTCTGTTGGGGGCATTGCCCCCAAATGCCCCCTGTGGCTACGGGCCTGTTGATTGCCCTCCAAATGAGGCTGCACCATAGCTAGTCCAGGGGCATTACAACACTGGCAGTTTGATTTCTAATCCCTTTCCTAAATGTCCACCAGCACGGAGTGTGCTTTTTTCATCGCTGCCATAGACAGAGGCCTCTCATAAGCTGTATGTGCCAAGTTTTTATGCACAAAGTGAAAATTCTTCTCTCTCCCAAAAGCCTTTTGTTCACCATGCTGAGCAGTTGTCTGTATTGCTGCTCTGTGGGTTCACTGCTGCTGTTTCCACCACTGTGGAACAGTCTGACTGTTCTGGGTCCCCATCAGGGAGAAAGGCAGGATATACATGGTTTGCCGGATCCCCCCCCCCCCCCCCCCCCCGCGGGGGGGGGGGGCGGGGGAGCCTCCAGGTTGGGAAACTCCTGGAGATTTGGGGATGGAGCCTGGGGAGGACAGGGGGGACTTCATTGGGGCACAGGGCCACAGAAGAGCCCACCCCCTCCAAAGCACCCAAACTGGATCTCTGTAGTCTGAGCTGTAATTCCAGGGGATCCCCAGGGCCCACCTGGAGGCTGGCATCCGTAAACTGCTGTTTTTGTTTTTCTGCTGCTTTTGCAATTTGGGGTGGAATTCTTAATGTGCTGTCTTATACTCTTTGTTATGTGCATTGGCGGCTACAAGCATGGACGGCTTCAAGAGGGAATTAGATAAGCATATGGAGCAGAGGTCCATCAGTGACCCCTATTAGCCACAAGGTATAGCTAGGGACTCCGGGGCAAGGGATGCTCTGTCTTCTTGGTGCCTGGGGGGGGGGGTCAATAGTGTGAGGGCTCCTAGTGTCCTGGCCCCACTGCTGGACCTCTTGATATCACCTGGTATTTTTTGGCCACTGTGTGACTCAGAGTGTTGGACTGGATGGGCCATTGGCCTGATCCAACATTGGCTTCTCTTATGTTCTTATTGTAATGGTACTATTATAGTGCTTTTAGTTGCGGTTTCTGTCATGTTTACAGGCATTTGCTTTAATGTTTTCAAATGGGGAGCTGCTGCCTCTGTCTGAGAGCAGGAAGTCAAAATAGGGGGAGGTGGTCTCCCATGGGTTGGTGGCTGGCTGCGCTGGGGGCTCCACGGAGGAGTAAAGCTGCTGCAGTCACCAGTGCAGGCAGGGGCCTGGAAATCTTGGCCAGCTGCCTCCTCTGCCCCGTGCCCTCCCTCTCTCGGCACGACCAGGGTCTTCTTGTTCCCTGCTGTCTCCCCTGAGTCCACGCGCTGGTTCCGCTCAAGTCCCTCTGCCACTGGCCCCCTTCTCTGGGCCAGTGCTTTTGGGACCAGCTACCAGCCACCATCTCCATCCTCCTTTCCTTGGCAAAGCTTTTCTGAGCCACATCTCCTCTCCTGACATATGCTAGTCCCTCTTCTGGTTTTGCCTCTCGTCAGCAACATCCGTGCAGAAGAAGAAGAGCTGGCTTTTATACTCGTGCCCTTCACTACCCAGAGGTATCTTGGAGCGGCTTACAAACTCCTTTCCCTTCCCCTCCCCACAACAGACAGACACCCTGTGAGGTGGGTGGGGCTGAGAGAGCTCTGAGAGAACTGTGACTGACCCAAGGTCACCCAGCTGACTGCATGTGGAGGAGGAGGAGGAGTGGGGGAATCCAACCCGGTTCTCCCGTGTAGAGCCTGCCGGTCTTAACCACGACAGGACACTGGAGCAGAAGCCGTCCACCTGACTGCTCCCAACATCTCTGGCCTTGGTTCTCTGTTCCACAGTGATCTGTTGCCTGCCGCGCATCTAAAGGGCCTGCTGCTGACCATGCCAGGGTGACCAAGGGCCGCTCTGCAAGCAGCAATGGCTGCAGACCTGACAGAAGCCCTCCTGCTCTGCTCTCCTGGGTCTACATCCTCAAAGTCTGTGGCTGGAGGGAGCAAAGATGCTGCTCAGGAAAGCAAGAAACCAATCCTTCTTTGCCGGTAACAGTGAGTAGTGTTAGAAGTTAAACATATCCGACTTGTGGTTGCCGCACTCAGGGTGGGAAAAACCCATGAAGTGCAGAGAAGGCAGTGCACGGTGTCCTGCAGGAAGCCTTGTCATGTCACGGGGAGGGGCAGCTTGCCAGTCAAGCAGCCGC